TCCTATTGTTTTTAGTGCAATTAAACTTAGAAAAAAATTGTTCTTCATGCTTATCAATCAAGGAAGAGCACTGTAACGAAGGATTCAAAAAGAAGCGCCTACTATCTCTGTTAACAAAAAAAAGTGAGGAACTCCTTAATTCTAGTTGTAGTTTGTAATAATCCCTTCCAAAAGAAGAATTTGTTTTTTCTCATTTTATAACAAAGGGAGCCAATTTTAAAATCACACTAATTGAAAATAATGGAATTGTCATTATAAATTCTCTATATGACCCTGCTTTGCATATAAGATTATTAATTTCCAAGGTAGGAAGACCTAGTTCACCAAAAGGCCTAGGCATATTAGTGCAATGCCAGACAATTTTTTGCATTTAGATAGAAGAGTTGCGCCGGTAAAGAAAATTTTTAATCATAAATGAGATACATTTTTTAATAATCTTAGGAATGCAAGTAGATCTAAATCAGTAAATTGAAAAATTCCAAAGGGCAGATTTAATAAGTTGAAGCCTGTTCAAGAAACTTAACAGTTTCTACTTTTAGCCACTAAAATAATGGTTGACCTTCTCCTAACGATTATGACAAGTAATAGAATTAAGCTTAATAAATTTTATTGTAATCTCCAAGCAGTCTCATAGGTGCATTTTTTTTTCCTAGAATACCGGATTATTGTTGCACTAATGTTTAAAAGCAAAAGATAGTGTACTTACTAAGGTTGCCCTGAATATTAGAGGCTTAATAAAAAAATATTTAAAGTATTGACCGAGCATATAGATCAGTGATAGATGCCTTGCCAAACAAGATAAGCTTGTCTGCATAGATGAGGTGGCTGATTTTCTCATTTGTGTCTCTTAAATTATAAATGGCTTTGTTATGATAAAGGAGTCAAAATAATGCATCCATTGCTATAGTGAAGAGATATGGGAATAAGAGACAGCCTTTTCTAAGGCTGGATGTAATGAAAAAATATCCTTACAATTCATTGTTAATAGTGACAGATAAATGGAGTTGAGTCATGCAAGCTTTCGTTGACTTAGACAGATAAATGGAGTTGAGTCATGCAAGCTTTCGTCGACTTAATAGATTTTAGCGTAAGGCTCTTTATTTCCTATCTTAAATAAATGACGTTTTGATTAACTGAGACAAAAAATTTTCTAATATCAATATTAGAGCAAAATCTTGAAAGATGGTTAGCTCAGTTGAATCTCTGCAAGATATAATTGGCGAGAATTATATTATCAAAGATATCCCTACCAACATGGAAGACAGCTTGGGAAGAATGAATGAGTTTAGGAAGAATGTCTTTTAGTCTATCTGTAATTAGCTTCTTTATAACCTTATAGATGACATTGCATAATGATATATGCCTAAAATCTTTGAGGGTATGTGAATGTTGCTTTTTAAGGAGAAAAGTTGAAGTAGTATGCTTAAATCTTTCAAATAACTTAGAGAATATAAAAAAAATACTCAATATTTTTTAAGCAATCATCACCAATGATGTTCCATGCACCTCTGAAAATTTTAGACTTAAAATCATTCTAAGCAAGGGATTTATCAATAACAATTTGAAAGAAAACTACTTCAATGTCCTCATTAATATAATCCTCAAGGGGTTGATTAGATTCATTATGAGTTAAAGATCTGCCCACAAAAATGTTAATATAGTTGTTATTATTAGAGTGACATTTATTAAGCAGGTAGAGAAGTAGGAAATAGCCTCTTGGATGATAACCTGTTGAGAGGTGATACACTAGTTACGAAAATGGAGTTCTGTTATGAAGTTTCTACTCTCGATTCTTTGATTAAAGAATTTCAGATCATCTTCTCCCTTAGAAAGCCAATAACACTTTGCTCTTCACCTAATTCAAAAGCTTTCCCAAGATATATCATTAGAGAGTTTATCATGAATGATAATACTTTTGAGAAAAAAGCTCTTTAGAAAGAGGTCGGGCTTCCAAAGCAGCGAGAATGTCTTCTTGTGAGGCCTTAAGCTCCCAAACAAAATAAGAACTAAAGTCAGAATGAATTCATTTGTCATTTAAAATAGCCTTTTTAACATTTATAAGCTTGTTTCCGAGAGCAACGTGGGATCCCCTAGAACTTTAATATTCCATGCATTAGAAATGATGTCATAAAATTTTTAACAGCAATTCCAATAGCCTTTGTACATAAATCTGCACTCTGGGGGTAAAGTAAAATCCACAATGTCCATGCATTTTATGACACCAACTTTGTTATAAATATGTAGACATGAAAGTTTACATGTTAGATATATAAATACATAACAATTGCATGTTATGTTTGCAACTTTCTCTCTCTATCTCTCTCTCAGCACACAATCTGATAACAAAAACTATATATGTAACTCTCTCTCTCTCTCTCTCTCTCTCTCTCTCTCTCTCTCTCTCTCTCTCTCTCTCTCTCTCTCTCTCTCTCTCTCTCTCTCTCTCTCTCTCTCTCTCTCTACAGACAGTAATCTGATAACAAAAACATTGATAAAATGTGCTTAAATAAATTTTATCTATCCCAATCGATCTGACGATTTATATGCAACATTCAGTCACTTTAATCTACTTTCAAGAAACCACAAACTGCAGTGCTTTATTTACTTTTAACTGCTCATCAGATTAGATTAAATTGTTGATGTAGGCCACTTTCGAACTAAAGCTCCCAATATGTGGTAATGCGTAATCTCCGGTACAAATTTCAAGAACAAAAGATCACAATTTTTAACATGGTCAGCGTCAATCAACCTACAATTTAAGCCATGTATGCTACTTGGCTATGAACATATATATATATAACATCTATGCCAAGCATGTGAAAATATTCTGCATAAAAGTTAACTGCAGTACTTTCTCAACACTTCTCCAATAATTAGTTAACCAACCAGAGGTGGTAATCATAACATATATACTTAACTCTGGTTAAGTTTACAGTGTCAATTATTTTATTTCCCCTGCCATGAAATGATTAATGTAATAGTTTGGAAGGGCTCTGAGGGGTAGCAATCATGGAAGTGTTAACTTCTAAATGAATGATATATGACCCTAATGATTTTGTTGTTTTCTAAAATATATTGTAGTTTCATAAATTCAAATGGATGAATCTAACAAAATTAAGTTTTCTTTGATAGTCAAATACAAAATATTAATATTATACATTACTAATGATATATAAAGCCAACCAGGCTCGTTGAAACCTAATCGACTCAATCGTGCCAGTATGACAAGAAGAAATCATGATTGATCGGTAAGTAATGAACAAAATTAAAATCAAGTAATTTTATATTTTAAAACTAATTACTTTAATTTTCAACTAATATGGCATGCATTCGAGCCAAATTATCATGATTTATTAATTTGTTGTTCGGCCTAAAGTGTAATTTCTTAGAAATTTATATGCTCGTCACATAATTTTGATATTTACTTATAATATATTCAAAATTTTAACATCAAAGTAAAAATGCCCTTAAGATTTTTATTTATTAATGTAAAAGATTATTCTTTTCATGTAAGCATGATGCTAAAATAATAAATAATTAGTTAAAAATATATTTTTGATATGCGGTATTTATGCAAACCAGCCCTTTCATTCATTAAGATTTATCATGCAGAAAGACACTTAATGCCAACCATAAAAGATACATTTAGTACCAGCATTTGAAAAGAACCTTATTACGTTTCTTCCAATTAGGGGTGTAAATGAGCCGAACACGAGCTGACACGTCCCCAAGCTCAGCTCGTGCTCGGCTCGTTTATCTTTCAATCTCAAAAAGTGTGTTCTTGTTTGTAGCCTTGGTTTTGGAATGAGGTAACACGTCCTCTTTCTAGCGCCTATTCTTTTGCTAGCGAGCCGGAATAAGAAATGATACACACCACCTCATGATGAGTTATAGCCGAAACACCTTCTCGCGATCAGATATTACCCGAGAATAGAAAAGAAATGTCAAAGGTTGTCCTGACAGAATTCTCAAAGCCAAAACTGAACCCTAACCCTAATAACATTATATATATATATATATATATATATATAATTGATTAGTAGTATTTCGAGCCAAAACGGGCGAACACGAACGAACAAATCTTTGTTCGGGTTGTGGCTCGTTAACTTAGCGAACGAGCCGAACACAAACTTTTTAACGAGCCGAATAAGTAACAAGCCATTTTGACAGCCCTATTTTCAATCCTAACAAAAAAGCACATGCTATGTTCGTTAAATAAATTTGGGGCATTTATTAACATATTAATCACCTAAATTTTATATTTTACTTAACAGACCATCGGATTCCAATGCTTTCAGCATAAGCTGAGTGGTCCAAGTAGAAATTCAAATTCAGATGATTGATATGTAATGCATAGTAATTGATTGGTAGTTATGTAAATCTTCCAACAAATTTATGTAAAGAATAATGCTTACGAGCGTGGTACTACTCAATAGCAAATTGATCATTTTTAAGACATCCCACGTGAAATATTGCACATTTTTGCAATCTCTCTTTATGAATTTTATGGGCAAATTTAACATTTCTATTCTAATAATATAACAACAATAATTGAGCCCTAGCTTTATAAAACTTTTGTAAATATTATAAGACTTGATTTCAATTCATTTAATTGCGGGTTTGGTTTTTGAAAATATTATGTCATGTCATCTATAGTCATAAGAAATACTTGATATATCAATTTTCAGAAGAAGAAAGAAAAGTAGTGATTAATATAAAATTTAATTATCTCATTTGAATGTCTATTAGAATTACTCATAATCAGAGACGATATGACTCATATGCTAGATAAGGGATAGATGCTGGAGCGGAACATAGCGAGTCAGCGGAGCGGAGCCCGTGAGCGGAGTGTTTCTGACTTGGTCTCCTAAATAGGATGTATTGTCTATTTATAAGTACATGATTTATAAGTATGCAATAGTTTCTCCCTTCCATGAGCTCTCTCTCTCTCTCTCTCGCTCGCTCTCTCTGCCTCTCTCTCTCTCTCTCTCTCTCGCTCTCTCGCTCTCTCTGCAAAAAAGTAAACCAAAAAACATAATCTTGAAACATAAGTAATCAACAGCAGGACAAACCAACGCACCATGCCAGCGAAGAATATGAAATTCAACAAAAAAACAAAAAAGTTAAAGAGATCAAAATTACACAACTATAAATTAATCATGAGTCATCATCATCTCAGAAATACTCTCTAGCTGCGGTCTCCACACTCCCACCCTCCCCCGCCTCCTCTCCTTTTGCTTCTCCATCAAAACTCTCTGTTTCACCACCAACCCCTTCCTCCGCTCATCCTCTCCCAACTCCCCCCTCCTCGACTCTCTTGCCGACTTCTTCTCCGAAACCGGCGTGAGGAAGTAAATCTGGCCCCGCCGCAACTCGGCAGAGGGCGGGAGAATGACCGCCCGCCACGGCGCAGAAACTGTCAAATCGTCGTCAATGGATGCCGGGGAAGGGGGTTTGCGAAGAACGTGGTGAGGGTGGGCTCGGGTGATATCGCCGGCGCAAACGGGGTGGCTGATCTCTTCAACGCGGCCGTTGGTGTGGACGATGCGGACGACATCGAGCGCGCCGCAGGGGAGGATGCAAGAGATGCAACACCTTATGGTCTCCTTCATGCTGGTTGTGTCGATGGGCAGATGGTGAATTAGAGGGTAGGCGAGGGGGAAGAGGAAAGGGGGGAAGGGGGGTGGGAAGTTCTTAAATAGGGAAATGAATGCACATGAGAAAGGTGTTACTTTGATTAGTGGGTCTTAATTAGTAATTAATTGGGAGCTTTGATTATGATTATGATTGAGGTTTTAGGAAGTTTATTTAGTCTATTAGTTGAGAGGTTTGGGATGGACCATCACAAAAGTTATGGATTCGGGATCTTGTTTATTTGACTTAAGTTTACAATGATGTTGGAAAGTATTTATGTGAGAAAATTTTGATAAATTTCTTGTTTTGTTGGGTCTAAAGTAGGTGAATTGATTTTGAGATGAATTTGTGTAGGGGAGTAAGCGAGCCAAAAATGAGTGAGCTTAGATTCAGCTCATGTTTGATTTATGAAAAAAGTATCACTGTTTGTGTTAGGCTAACTTGTTAACGAGCCGAACATGAGTTTTTTCACGAACGAAGAGTCATTTTGACAATCATAGTAACGCAGCCGTATGATGGTAAGAGTTAGGGCAAGATTTAATTTTTATTATTTATATTTAAACATCATTAGAATCTAATATAATTTTATTCTAATTTTTAATTAATAATTTTAATTATTTTTTTCAAGCCGAATATGAATGAACATATCCTTGTTCGTGTTTGGCTCGTTCATATATCAAACGCAAGAAAAAAAAAAAATTATTCGTGTTTAGCTCCTTAACTTAACAAACCAATCGAACATGAGCTGCTTTGACATGCCGTTATAATCTTTCAATATAATACATTTATTTATAAACAAATATGATGACTTTTTTTAACTCATCTTAGATATAATTTCGTGAAGGCTATTAAATAATTGAAATAATATTAACTAAAAGGTTAAATTACCAATAAATATCATATTGTAATGTTAATTATACATTTGGTTAATTGAAATAACTCTATTATTGATGAAAATTCGTTCTATAGTATGTTGATAGAAAATTATGCAAACAGCCTTTATTTTACATGCATAACACTTGAGACATGATTTTATGTATGCCACACAAAAACTTTCCTATTTATGGAATAAGCACTTGAAACTCTAAATAGACACAAAAATTGCACGCGTCGTCTAGTATTTGTGCGGGAAGTCTGATGAACCTTCCAGAGCTCCATCAGAGTTTCAATATACGTAGGAAGTGATTGGAAATCAGAGAGAAGGGATCTAGTGTAGCTGATCGGCCGGAGAAAATTTTGTGTACTACATAGCGCTGTGTATGTTAGGGAGGTTATTCAAAGTTATAGGAGTTATATCCGCATTATACCTCCTGTAACCTAGTTGTACCTTCTAGTAAGTTTCGAGTTTATGTTTTCATATATTTGTAGGTTACATGTATGTTACAGGGAGATTACAGGGGGCATAACGCGGTCAATATCATCTGATTAACCTCCCTATCGTACGCAGCGCAGCGCTGCGTACGTCTTACGTACGCAAATTTTTCTCGATCGATGGAGGGAAAAATAACGAGCTCGCTACAGGATCTCATCGGTATGAGGAGGGGTTGTGCGTGTTCTATTGTGAGACTCACTTAAATTTTTCGACGATTTTAATTCGACATATGATGTAAATTTACGTCTGATATCTGAACACAATAAAAAGTTCGACGAGATCATGTAACAATGTTAACGGGTAAGACATAAATATTAAAGTTTAGGTGTGAAATATGTAAAATTAACAGTGTTAAGTGCTATGCATGTATATCACACTTATTTGAAATGAGTGCAATATACAATTAATTTGTAAGAGAATAAAACTAAGAATTTTATGGTCCAACTAAATTAAAATTTTATTTGAATATTTTAATCCATTTTTATTATTAAATGGTTGATAATTTAAATAAATTGTGGGATTTATTTCAATCAATAATATATACCATAATATGATCATTTTTTTTAATATGGATTATTTAATTCAATAATTAATTTATATAATATTTATAAATTTAATATATTGGTGACATTAGATATTGATTAAATTTTATGAATAGATTTTAATACATGGATAAGAATCTACATATCTATCTTTGTTCTTTGTATGTCATCAGTAAAATTTGTCATTTTGCATAAATTTCAAGGCAATTAGCACGAATTTTGGAATAATTTTTGTGCAAGAAACATTTAAAATCAGATTAAATATTATTTAGAATTATGATTTTAGCAAATTTATAGTCCAACTGACCGTCTTGACGACACTAAATAATAACATCAAAATTGGTTTAATCTGAGTCAAATCAAGCTCAAATCAAGTTATTGAACCAAGTTTAGAAGCTTTGGGTGGCTAATCGGAAGGTTATATGGATTTCACTTTTGACGAGCTTATAATCGAATTGATCATCTTGAAGAGATAAATCTAAAAAACCCAGGATCTTTCTACAATAGGAAATTAGTTTATTTTTGACAATCAAATACATTCGATAATAACGGATAAATCGTAGGTAATATATTTAATGACTGCTTAGCTACGACAAAGTTGACGTATTAAAAATGCTTGTCCACAATTAAATTACCGATGAATTTAACAAAGTAACGGATAAATCGTAGGTAATATATTTAATGACTGTTTAGCTACGACAAAGTTGACGTATTAAAAATGTTTGTCCACAATTAAATTACCGATGAATTTAACAAACATTTACCTTAACCGACAGTTAACTGATGCACTATAACTGTCGCTATGGATTCAAAAACATGTCACGTTTAACTATACCTTTTAGCTTTTAGCGTTGGTACGAAAGCATTCGCAGGGAAAGTGTTGTAATTCCGTTGAAAAAGTCTCGCGATTCTTTTGGTAAATTGTCGCCAAACCGACCGTTAACCGTGGGAATTTACCAACGACTCTGCCAGTAGCAAAAGTGCAGTCCTTTGCTCAGATGTCGCTTGTTCACTAGACCGTCAGAAAACCATCATTTGTTTGATAAACTGTCGAAAAAATCGTCGATAAGCTGTCGATAATCTGTACCATCATAAATATATATATAACTCTATTTCAATGCTACAACCTATAACGTAACAGATCAACCAAAACACAACACAACACAATAACATAACTAACTATTGCATAAATCATATACAAAAAAAAGAAAAACAATTGAAGCGTAATATATAACTGCATAATAAAACTAATGTTCGCTAACAATAACTTGTTCAATACACAACCGAACAAACAAATAACCGCATACTCATCCTCCTCATCATTATGTGTTCCGGACTGAAGACCTGGAAAACGCTTTTGATCATGCAACCATCGACCACCGCTCGTCGACTGCCATCGAGCACTACCGACTATCTCGTCGACTCCCATCGAGCACTACCGATTATCCCTTGCTCGTTGCAACGAAGCGCTGTGTAGTCCAAGGTATACTTTGCAGAGCAACAAAACATTGTGTGGAATAACTACCAACGCCGCGAAGTAACGAAGCTTCCTACAGAGAAGTAGATTAATTAAATTACGATCGGACTGTTTAAGACCTTAAAAACTCCAAATTTGTTGATTAATTTGAATTAATGAGTGAAATTAAGGTTTCTCTTAGGGCTGTCATAAAATCTCTTTATTCATGAATAGCTTGGTTCGGCTCATTAAAAAGTTCATGTATAAACTATTTTTAAAATAAGTGGTCGAATATAAGTAACTATTTGTTTGATCATATTGAGCTTATTTTAGCTTCAAATAAATTAGTTATATATATTATTTATATAATAATATATTATATATATTTATATCTAAATTTTAATTGTCATAGCACATGTAGTCATGTGATTTTGTGCTTTTTATTGCATATGAATAGTGCAGGTTCGAATTCAATACTTTACATTTATTTTTTTGATAAATTTAAACGAGTTAATTTCGAGTTGAGCACAAGCCGAATATGAACACATATTTCACAAATAATTTCGAACACGAACCAATTTTGAACAAGTAATTTCAAATGAGCCAAATGAGAATCAAGCTCTTTTATAGCTCTAGTTTGATCCAGTCAAAATCTGACTGGTTGAAACTCTTATCTGCAACAGGATGCATACATTTGACCTATCAAATTGCTTGAATAATCGGTTTAACATATTTATAAATAGGGTCTTTAAAAATGTACCACCTAATTCTTATGTATTAACATATCAATCACAAAAATTTTAATTTTTATATCAAGATGCATGTGAGAAATGTGTCAGCATGAATTTCGAGAAAATTCAAAACTAAAAAATAGAGTGTGGTCAAGGACGACCCCCCATAAAGAAGATCAAATGGCACACTAATTGAAGACTAAAAGATCCGATTCACCAACTACAACTCCCTTGGAGCAAGATGCGAAGCCGATCAAATGAATGCAACTCAAGTTAAAGATCAATATCCATCGAACTGAGTAAACGCATCAACCCAACTCTCATACCAACATCGTCTGCCACCTCACGAGAGTCTCGAGTTTCTCATCACTACACACTCCAATAACACTCTAATGGATCTTCTGTCGTAGGATATGCTATCAATCGGTTTACGACGATTCGCTCTCTGCCCGACATCCTAATTTCATCCCGGCGACATAAAGTTCTCATCCATAGATTAATAACTGACAACATAACCAAAGCATTAATGAAAAATACTAATACCTCATTGGGTCAAATAGAATTCTGAATTACCCCAAAAATTAGGGAGAAGATGACGTGTAGGTCACATGTAACATGTCGGCGGGCGGGCTGGGCATGGGACCATACGTTATCCCGCAACACATGGAGCCGTCGGCAAGCACACGTGGTAGAATGTGGAGTCGGGTGAGTCTGATAGGTCCACAATCATAAGCAGAATAATTACATCCATAAATGAGATATTGCAGGTCGTAGTTGCCCTGCGTTGGGAATGTATAATTTAGCCCTTAATGCTCCATTGTGGACAAATTTGTTTAAATGCCCCAATTTAATGTGCAATTATGTTGCATAAATAATTGTAATTATTTGGTGAATTTCATATTTATTCATTAATTTTTTAGGGTTGTGAACATGTACACATATGCGA